GCCCGCCAGCCCGCCCGCCCGCACTGCCTCCCTCCGGGCCCCTAGCGCTCCGGCTGGGTCTTTCCCTTCAGGCTTTCCCGGGTCGCTCTTCTCAGGCGGTCGTCCGCACTCGGTGGATGTGGCTGGCAGCCGCTGCCCCCTCCCTCGCTCGCCGCCTGCTCTTCCTCGGCCCTCCGCCTCCTCCCCTCCTCCTTCTCCTCCTCAGCCGCTCCTCTCGCCGCCGCCTCCACAGCCTGGGCCTCGCCGCGATGCCGGAGAAGAGGCCCTTCGAGCGGCTGCCCGCCGATGTCTCCCCCATCAACTACAGCCTCTGCCTCAAGCCCGACTTGCTGGACTTCACCTTCGAGGGCAAGCTGGAGGCCGCCGCCCAGGTACGGTGACCCTTGGGCGCCTGGGGCGAGCTGCCGAGCGAGCAGTTAGGCCGCGCCCGCAGGCTGGACTGGGGGCCCGGCCGGGAGGGCGGGTGGGCCTCGGCGTTGCGGGGCTGGGGCGAAGGAGGCCGGCTCCGGGACGGGCGCGCCCCTCTGGGGCGGCGGCAGGGTGCCCGGCCGGCGTGCTCTGCCTTCTTCGGCTGGGGCCGGGACTGCGCTGCGGGAAGCGCTGCGGGCGCTGGCGGGCCCTGCCCGTGCGCCGCTATGGGGCGCGCACACCTGTGTGGGGCTTCCACCCGGGCCCTTTCTGGCTTGGTAGTGTTCTGGGAGAGGTTGGAGGGTGTTGGGGGAGGTCGGAGGGGTCATCGGAGTCCACGTCTGTCTCGCCCTCATAACTCAGTTCTTTCTTTGGTTTTCCTTACACCTCACCCGGGATAGATTGGAAGGGCGGTCTTCTGAGACTCAGGCCGCCGCGCTGCAGCTAGGAGGGGAGCTTCTAGAAGGGGGGAGAGGGGAGAACGAGAATGTTAATCCCAAGCCGCCTAGCCGAGTTCTCCACGCCTGCTCCAGCCCAGGGGCTGGGTTTCCAAGATGATCCGCCCCCTCCCCCTTTCCCCGCAAGTGACAGTGCAGCAGTGACTTTGTTCTCTCCTAACCTCTAGAGAAGCTGCGGGAGGACCCCATCTCCGTTTTTTTCCTTCTGTCTTCCTTGCTTTTCGGCTTTTGAAGCAGGTGAATTTATTGCTACAGCAATGGTTTCTTAGCAGGACCGTCTTCTTAAAGAAGCTATTAGTTTAGCATATCACTGGTGAAAATATTCCATTACTTTTCATCGCAGTTTTTGGTGAATCATCGCCCCACAGCATTATTTGAAGTATTGTTTGATTTGGGGGACCATTAGTATGGGTGACCTACAAAGGTCCTGAACAATAAACCTTTATGATACCATGTTATCTGAAGTGTTAACATGAAGCTTATAATGGAAAATGGGAGTTTAGTCGCTATCTTGAAAAATAATGATGGTAAATATATTTTAGTTTCATTTCATTTCCTACTGCAGCGGGGGTTGGGGGGGGGAGAGGGGGTAAAAATCAGTGGGCCTCAACCATGAAGAACAGTGTGTATGTAACGATGAGAAAAAAGAAATGTAGACGGGTACTCGAAAGTTGGCAGTTGCCTTTGAAAGTTAAGAGGGCGTGATACTCAGTTTGAAAATATGTCTAAAACTTGGTAGAATTTAAAAGTATACTGTCAGATTTGGGGCGCTTGTGTGAGAACATAAGATCTAGGGTATGGCTGCATGGAAAGACGAAGCTTATCCCTGTGAAAGTCAGGTGATTTAAAATTTTTCCATTAAGAATATGAATCAGAATGAGTGCATTTTGAGTCTAAAGTAGGATTTGAGAGGGCTATTTGGGATACTGTGGTTTACAAGCCAAGTGACTAGAGTGATATATATTGGCAGGGGGTAGTTGGGAGGGATTGTAAACAGTAGTGTGTCTTGTGACTTGGCAAACCTTCGGGAAGAAGGACCTGGCCATTTCCCCATTATGTGAAAAGACTTTCAATGTTTTTAAAAATCTTTTTTTTTTTTTCTTTTTTAACCCTCCCCTTTGTTGGCATAATAAAGGAGCTCTGGTGGTGTAGTAGCTGCTTCCATTATGGTTTGCAGCCTTGGAAACCCTGTGGGGGTCGCTATGAGTCGGAATCCACTCAGTGGCAGTGGGGTGGTTTTTTTGGTTTTGACTGGCAAAACGGCTTCGTAATCTTGAGAAACATATATATTTAGAAAAAAAAAGTATGTTAAGAAGTCAACTACAATTTTTCAAGGATTATTTAAGAAGTGACAATTTTATGTGTTAGGCTGAAATGACAGAGTGACATGTTTCTTCTTCCCCTGTTGAATTTGCTTTTCCAAAGCGATGAGAACTCTGGATTCATGATCTGGGCCATTGAAGGAGCACATACAAATGTACCAGTTATTAACAGGGACTTGTTACAAGGAAATAAATGAATCTTTTTAGTAACATGAACATTTCAAAACATTTCTTTTCAGAAATTGTTTTCCTGGTTGGTGATAACACATGTTGAAGAAGGTGTGATAGTGAATTTTAACAGGCTTTGTTAAAGAATTATTAGACTTTTTAATTAAAGGCATTGCTACCTTTGGGAGTATAAAAAAGTTTACATTTATAAGAAGTAAAAAGCATATATTAATGTTTTTTTAATTACAAAGTATGCAAGTTGCTGAATTGCTTTAGTTGCAAAATTTTATGATAAACCCAGGGTATTTGTACAGGTTACATATTAGAAACTTAGTGGATTTTTAACCTGGCCTGGGGTGTGGACTCCTGGGGAAGGTGGAGAAATTAGTCAGTGTGCAGTGATTTAAAAATTAGTTGTCTTTTAAGTAAGTTGCACCATGTATTAGTTGTTGTTGAGTTGATTTTGACTCAGGAGACCCCATGTGTGTGGTCTAATTGAGCAAGTTTGGAAAATGTGTTACCATGGGTCTAGACTAATGGGACATCCCATTTCTTCTCCCTTTATATTTGAGGGCAAAGGAATTTTGTGGATATTAAAAATTTTGACTCTCTAAATTTGTGGACAACTAATTAAAATGGATTGTAAGTTTGCATGAACATGGCTACCCTTCCTGGTTATGAGTCTAGTGGTTGGTACAGTAGTTGGGTTTTCTCTTAAGGAAAGTTTTTTTTTTTTTTGGGTCAAAGTTTACAGAGCAAATTAATTTTCCATACAGCATTTCACATACACTTTGTCTCATGACAATGACTGCAATTTCACACAGTGCAACGGCTCTCTTCCACTTCTTCCACATGGTCACCTCTTCCCTGTGTCCCTTCCCTCCCATGCACTCCTGCCCCCTAAGTGGTCTCCCTGTGCATACACAGCCTTTCTGCTCTCCCTGATCGATCTCTCCAAGGAGTGTATCTATCTAATGTAAATAAATGTGTAGCTCATATGCCTGTTTGGCTGGGAGCTAGGGGACATAGTCTCAGGGGTTCCACCAGGCTCTGTCAGACCAGTAAACCTGGCCCTTTTCTTTTTTTTAAAATGATTTTGAGTTTTGTTCCACATTGTTTTCCCACTATATCCAGGATCTCCTACATAAGTCCCGTCACAGTGGTTGACAGTTGTAGCTGGGCACCATCTGGTTCTTCTGGTCTCATAGTTATATAGGCTGAGGATCGTATGGTACCAGTCCTCTTAAGGAAAGATATTTACCTGTGCCAAAGAAATCAATTTCAGCTTCAAAACCAGAAATTAGGATAAACTAGATAATCCCTAGCTTCTGCCAACAAAATAGTCATGCTGGTGATGACTAAATTGGCACTAAGAGGATAGTTACAAATACAGTAGTTTATTTGGCAAGCCAAAAACTTGGCACCTAAATAGATATTATTATCAGGCCTGTTTGCATATTTTTTAATGTAGTAATCTTTTTTTTTTATTATTATTATATTGAAAAAATAAAATTCTTAATTCATCTAGCATTATACTAGATCACTAAATGGTCCTTAAAATTTATTTAAACTTGAAAGATTAGTGGTAAGGAATTTAATTTGTTCAGATTTTCTGTTCTATTTCTTGAAATGTGTCTATGAGGAAACATCTAACTATAGGGAACTTTTATATGTTACACTTTATCTGGTATCCTTTGGAAGTGAATTCTGCAGTGAAATAAATTTCCAGATAATTGAAGCTTACTTACCCTTTGAGGAATTTTGGCTTAGAAAAATATTTACTGATTTGGATGGAAAAGTTCCTGAATATACTATTGGATATGTATGTATGTATGTATATGTGTGTATATATATATATATATATATGTGTATATATATATGTATATAAAATCCTAGATTATAAAGAGGAATTAAACAGTTTTAAAAGATACTGTGGTTTTGGTTTCTTAAATATAGTATCTTTTAAAACTGTTTAATTCTTCTTTGTAATCTAGGATTTTTTTTTTGCTTTTTCCTAAATACTAGACATCATTCTAAACATCTGTCATTGATACTATAATTGTACTATAATTTTTACGTTTCATATCTGTTCTTTGAAGTTTTTTGTTTGTTTTCCTTACTCAGGTTATTACTTCTTGTTCCTTGTTACTGTCGATTGTGCAATTCTTCCCTCTTCTATTTTACTGAGCTTGATCTGAAGACATCTGAGTAACCAGATAAAAGTATTTATTTGAGCTTAAAAATAAATTATTTTTAAGTGAAAGTTTGATGGATTCTCTCCTGAGTGAATGGTATTTAGCTTATTTTATAGACTTTGTATCATCTATTCTGGCTTTTCAACACCCCC